GTTTTGAAAGGGTTTTTTGGCATAATTTACTTGGCATCATCATCCATTGTGTAAAACAGGAAGAAGTCATAAGTCAGAATAAACAACCGTGTGCTGCAAACAGATAAAATTTGTACAGTTTACTTGCTCCTTGTAATTTGGAGTTTAGAATTTGGACACGTAATGTAAACTCTCTGTTAAAAGATAGTAAGTAGCAGTTTAGATCAGATTCTTTTGTATACAAAGAGCAGACTAGTGGAATCACATTTTAAATGGCCTCCACAAGTTTATGTAAAAATATTTTAGATATCACGCAGAACAGACTTACCAGAAATGCCATATTGTGCTTACGAATCTCTGGCCCCTTTCTGTAAGAGTCTTTCCAGCATTTTCCATGTGGGCAGTTTACTATAATCCCTAATTCTTGGAGACTTCAATATTCCCGTTAACCCACCTTTGACCCCAGCAGCCTCTAAACTACTTTCAATCACTTCCTCCCTTGGACTTTTGCAGTGGGCTAATTCTCCCACTCATGTAGCTGGCAATACCCTCGACCTTATTTTCTCTTCTTCATGTACAATATCTAATATCTGCAACACCCCATTTCCTCTCTCTGATCACCACCTCTTATCATTTGCTCTCAATTACCCCCTCACCCAACAATCTCAGCCTAACCCCCCTCAGCTCAGGAGGAACCTTAACTCTATTGACCTCCAGCAGCTGTCAGCTGACATTGATTCACAACTGCTACCCATCCCTTCCCTCTCCTGTCCCTCACTGGCCATCTCCACATATAACACTACCCTCACATCTGCCTTGAACGCTGCAGCCCGGCTCAAAACATGCACCTCGAGGAGGACACGACCCCAACCTTGGCATAATAAATCAACACGCTATCTGCAGAGTTGCTCCCGTTGTGCTGAACGCTCCTGGAGGAAGTCCCGCACCCAGGCAGACTTTCTCCATTATAGATTCATGTTGCTTTCATACAGCGCAGCCCTCGCCCTCGCCAAACAGTCATACTTTTCCTCTCTCATTAGTTCATGCTCCCGCAATCCCAGACGCCTCTTTGACACCTTTAATTCCCTTCTCCGCCCTGCTGTGGCCACCCCCAAACTAACCTTACAGCTGATAGCTTTGCATGCTACTTTACCGACAAGATTGAACAGCTAAGGAAACAATTCTCCCCTCCTTGCCGTTCTCTTTCTCAACCACGTGTAAATCTTGCTTTCCCTACCCTCCAGACTTTCTACCCAGCTACTGAACAAGAGGTGGCTGCGCTTCTCCATTCCTCTCGCCCCACCACTTGCCCGCTCGATCCTGTCCCATCTCACCTCATCAGATCTCTCTCCCCTTGTCTTGTGCCTACCCTAACACACATCTTTAACTGTTCTCTCTCTTCTGGTACTGTTCCTGCTGACCTTAAACATGCCACTGTAATACCTATCCTGAAAAAACAATCTCTTGACCCATCCTCCCCTTCTAACTATCGTCCCATATCCCTGCTCCCTTTCTCATCAAAGCTTTTGGAAAGGCTTGTCTTTACCCGTGTGTCCCGCTTCCTTAATTCCAACTCTCTCCTTGACCCTCTTCAGTCTGGCTTCCGCCCTCTCCACTCTACTGAGACTGCTCTTATCAAAGTGACTAATGACCTAATCTCCGCTAAATCCAAAGGTCATTACTCCATATTAATTCTCCTTGACCTCTCTGCTGCCTTTGACACCGTTGATCATGCTCTCCTCCTTCAAACTCTTCAATCGCTCGGTCTCTGTGACTCGGTCCTCTCTTGGTTTTCCTCCTATCTCTCCCAACGCTCATTCAGTGTCTCCTTTTCCAAGGATACCTCCTCCACTCGTCCTGTCTCGGTTGGAGTTCCCCAAGGGTCTGTCCTTGGTCCCCTTCTATTTTCTCTTTATACCGCCTCTCTTGGTAAACTGATTGCCTCTTTTGGATTCCACTACCACTTGTACGCTGATGACACTCAGATATACCTCTCCTCCCCGGACCTCTCCCCTGCTGTCCTGCAACGTGTCACTGCTTGCCTTTCTTCCATCTCTGACTGGATGTCTTCACGCTTTCTGAAACTTAACCTCTCTAAAACTGAACTCCTTGTTTTTCCTCCTCCTAATACTGATCCTCCTGTCTCGCTCTCCTTCAAGTCAGTGATATCCATATAAGTCCATCCCTGCAAGCACGCTGTCTTGGCGTCATACTTGACTCTGGTCTCACCTTTGAGTCTCACATCCAGTTTGTTGCCAAGTCCTGTAGGTTCCAACTCAAAAACATAGCCCGCATTCGCCCCTTTCTTACGCAAGATGCTACCAAGGAGCTTGTCCATGCTCTAGTAATTTCCCGCATGGATTACTGTAACCCTCTCCTGATTGGTCTTCCCAAAAGCCGTATTGCCCCACTACAGTCTGTAATGAATGCTGCAGCTAGACTGATATTCCTCTCTAGTCGGTCCTCTCACACCTCACCCCTCTGCCGGTCCTTACATTGGCTCCCTGTATGCTATAGGAGTCAATTCAAAGTGCTAACCCATACATTTAAAGCACTGAACAGTTCTAGCCCCGCTTATATCTCTTCACTGATCCATAAATATGCCCCTCCACGTACCCTCCTCTCTGCCCGTGACCACCTCCTGACCGCTGCTCGCACCCGTACGGCCAACTCGCGCTTGCAGGACCTCTCGCGGGCGGCTCCTCTCCTATGGAATAGCTTGCCTACTGCCATCAGACTCTCCCCTAGTCTTCAATCATTTAAGAAGGGCCTTAAAACCCATCACTTCAGGAAAGCTTATGGCCTCCCAGAGTAATCTCTACCTTACATACCTGTCTCCTGCTCTCTCCTATGGGACAGTGCTTTGCTCTCTCCTCCAGCTCTGCTTCACTTCTACTTGATATTTATTGTCCTAATGTTTCAAATACCCCACCTCCAATAGTCTGTAAGCTCGTTTCAGCAGGGTCCTCTTCAACCTATTGTTCCTGTAAGTTTTCTTGTAATTGTCCTATTTATTGTTACATCCCCCCCCCCCTCTCAAAATATTGTAAAGCGCTACGGAATCCGGTGGCGCTATATAAATGGCAATAATAATAATAATAATAATGGGATTTAGTCTCAAAACTGTGAATTTAGGAACTGACAATTGGATTACAAATTTTAGTCCAAAATAACTAAGTTAAAGGGACACTATAGTCACCAAAACAACTTCAGCTTAACTAAGCAGTTTTGTTGTATAGATTATGCCCATACAGTCTCACTGCTCTATTCTCTGCCATTTAGGAGTTAAATCAATTTGTTTATGAACCCTAGTCACATCTCCCTGCATGTGACTTGCACAGCCTTCCTAAACATTTCCTGTAAAGAGTCATCTAAAGTTTATCCTTCCTTTATTGCAAGTTATGTTTAATTTAGATTTTCTTATCCCCTGCTATGTTAATAGCTTGATAGGCCCTGCAAGAGCTTCCTGTATGTGATTAAAGATCAATTTACAGAGCAAGAGATAAAACTGTTTAAGGTAAATTACATCTGATCGAAAGTGCAACCTATTTTTGTCATGCAGGCTGTGTCAATCATAGTCAGGGGAGGTGTGGCCAGTGGCGGATCCAGAGCCTGATCTCGGGAGGGGCACTTTTAGATTATTTAAATAAATAATCCAGACACAATAATAATAATGTGTGTATTGCAGTGTATGTGCGTGTGACAGTTACAGAGTGTGTATTGCAGTGTATGGGGGGGCAGTGTATGTGTGGGGCAATGTATGTGTATGGAGGGCAGTGTATTTGTGTGGGGGGGGCAGTGTGTGTTTATGGGGGCCAGCGTGTGTGTGTGTGGGGGGGGCTGTGTTTATGTATGTTTATGGGGGAAGTGTGTATATGGGGGAAGGAGCAATGAGTGTGTGTGTGAGATAAGAAGGATAGGGGGGCTTTTTTATAATGTGTGTTTTTTTTTAAATTTAATTAAAATAAATATTCTTTGACATATTTCCATCCCTGGTGGTCCCAGTGGTAGGAGTGAACTCTAGCCCGCGCTCCAGGGCTAGAGATCTCACTAGCAAGATTTGGAGCGTTGCCATGGTAACCGCGGCAAAGTTCCGTGCTTGCGAGAGGAGGACCCTGAGGAGCTGCAGGCTGAGCTCATGGGTCCTCTCTCACTCCCTCTCCCTCCCCTGCCGGCTGTCAGCACAATCTCGTGGGGGGTGGGGGGAAATTGCCCCCCGTTGCCCCCCCCTGGATCCGCCACTGGGTGTGGCAATGGCTGCATAAACAGAAACAAATTGATGTAACTCCTAAATGACAGAGAATTGAGCAATGAGACCTGAGAGGCATGATCTATACACTAAAACTGCTTCATTAAGCTAAAGTTGTTTAGGTGACTATAGTGTCCCTTTAACATATATAGAAGTTGAATAATTTTCCTTTTTGGCCATTTTGGAAAACAATTGGCAGTTAGATTGTCTACAATTCCTAATTTGGGGCTGATTTTCAGTGTTTTACTAAATAAAGTGGCTTTTGCCAATGTTTCCTTGTAATGGCTGTTCTTCAAATGCAAAATCTCACCATTCATGAAATGGGAATTCAGTCTGACGTTACTGTTATCTGACGTTACCACTAACAGCTAGCCACCAACCGATTTTTAACCTTGTTCCTAAATTTTATCAGTTGCTGCTATCCCTCAAAATGTAATACCTGCCTCTTGACCAAAATGGGTTAACCCTTATGACAGCAAAATACATACTTCCAGGGCCGATCCTGGGCAGGTGCACATAGTGCAGCAATGGGCAATGGTGTTCAGCGTCTCCACGCTCTGCATTGAGGCACTGAACGTTCCTCATAGAGATGCACTGATTTAATGCACCTCTATAAAGGAGATGCTGATTGGTGTAGCACGCAATAGCATCCCGAGCATTGGCTGAAATCATCAAAATTGATCAACTCTGCCATGACGGTGGGACCAGGCAAGACTGGTGCAGTGTGCGAAAAAAGGTAAGTAAAGTCACGTTTTCACTGCACAGTCACATCAGTATAACGCATCAGGAATACATGTTCCTTTAAGAAATGTATTGTTCTAAGTATGTATCTTTCAAATTGTCTAAAGGCTGTGTTTTATTATCTAATAATTATTTTACTTGTTTCATTTGAAAATTCTTCCAAGCATAGAACGCTTTGAGGAAAATCTACAATACATTGTGTTGGTTTTTTGTTTCACAGATATTAGAATTTAGCCTGTAGGAAGGATTTGTAGATAAACCTAGTAATAAACGTGTCCGTTAATAAAGTACATCTGTGTAGCGATTTCCACATCTCCCATGTATCTCAAAATAGAAATAAAATATGATTTAATATTTTATTTTTATTTTTTTTATGAAAAGGCTTGAAGGTCTCTCTAAAGTTCATAGAAAGCAATACTTTGAAATATTAGAGATCAGAAATCTATTATTTTCATTTAAAGTAACAATCCAAATAAAAAATAAGTAAACCAAATGTATTTGTGGTTAGGAACCCGTAGGTCATTCCCTCCATTTCATAATTGAAAGGGTTACAATTAAACTAGTCAAAATTGCAGTGCCGGGACTGTGTCCTCACTGCAGCTCTAATGCACCTCATGTGAGGTCACCATTACTAATGACATGGAATGCAGAAGGGTGCTAGAATGCATACCGTACAGGAAACCAATACTTTTCTCTGAGAAGCACTTGTTTCTGCTTTGAACTATCCACCTGCTGGTCTGAAAGCTTGAGGTACTTTAGGTGTCTATAGTGTTCCTTTTATGGGACACATCACGCAGCATAGTTACTTCAGCTTACTGTAGTGGACTTGGTGCAGAAATCCTGCACACTCACACTCATTTGACCGGACAGCACAAATTGACAAACAGAGGACGCTCTTGCAATGATAAATGATAAGTTTTATACAGATTCCTACATATATATGGCTCTTAATAAATACATATTTTCTCACGTATAAAGGAAGTAAATGCATGACTAAAAGGATTTATTTTTTCATCCTAAAATGTCCCATTAACGTGTTATTTTTGGCTCACATGCTTAACTATGAGAAGTGGAATAAGTGATGGAACATTTTTTTTTTTTTTGGAAGATATTAATTACAAGCATGCTTTGCCTCACCGCTCCCTATTTTTAAGACCACCATGTCAGTAATTAGCAAGACTTGCTTTCTTGCAAGGGATGTTGGGTGTGAGCAGAGGAGGAGCAGTAATCTGTGTATGGATCATTACCTTTAGCAGCAAGAGGTCCCAATCAACAAGAGTTTGGACAGGGAATAGGGATTGTTTAGGGAAATTTGCATGCTAATGCTCAGTATTAGGAGGTTTTGGAAGGCAGAAGGGTGCTAGAATGCTGCTAGAAGGTTCACTGCATATGACCCTATTCCAAGTAAATTGCTATTTCCAGATACATACCTACTTATACAAACAAACCCCACTAGATTTATTGGGACAGAAAAACAGAAATGCACAATATGCTGTCACATTCTAATTTCCCTGTTACTCTTGTAGATTGTGCCAAAACGACTTTGTCTGGTTGCTGTCAGTCGTAAAA